TCAAAGCATACACAAGAGTCTCATTTGTAATGGAAATGCCTTTAATGACTTTACCGGCCCTTACTTAACGACTTAATGCTTTTAATGTGTCAACAAATTTCCAAAAAGTCAGGCTCGTTTAAGTGATTTCTTTGGCCCTGCTGCATATTTTAATCTCGCGCCTTGATAAGTGCACAGCGCTGATGTGGGTGGGGAATCGGATTTGCTATATTTTGAGGCAGACCAAAAATCATGTATGTAAAATGCAATTTTGAAAAGAAAATGGTGAGCATGTGTGTAGCGTGTGTGTGTCTGTGTTATGATGACACACACTAAAATTACTCCAGAGCCTAGTCCAGTGTGTTTAAATGCAATGCTAAGGGAGCTTTAACTGGAATCAATGGTTTTTTACACTTGAATTTATTTTTCTACTCAAAGTCAAATATTGTAGATTTTCACCCAGTTTGCACTGAAATCGCCACAAATTAATTTTGATTTTATTTAACACATATAATATATTTTCTGTTGTGAAATTTATAAAAAGGAAAATAATTGTACATTATCCAACAAAAATACATATATTTAGAAAAATTTCCCTAGTGGTTTCCTACTCACTTATGCACTTACGGTCACTCGGTGTAGCGTAGTGCTGATGACACAAAGTGGGTCAGTCAGGTTTTTTTTTGTTTTTTTTTTTAATTGAACTGAATCGACAGTTTACACTCGTCTCCTTCCTCACCAAATCCAGTCGCAGCTCGGCTGGCCGCAGCCTAGACCAGCTGTCTCCTCCTCACAGGGGGCCGTCTTGCACACTGCACCCTACATGTGCCCCCTGTACATCCCGGGTTGCATTGGTTGGATTGGAGATTGGTGGGTGGTGTTGGAAAGGGGTGATTGGGCTTGCTCACTGCTGACTCATCCTACACACAGACACACACACATACACTCGCAGGGACAGGCAAGCATCTCCTCTCTATCGCTTTCATTCACTCACACTCTTGAGAAGCAGAGGAGACGCCAGGGCGGGGAGTCGGTGGGGGTGACGGCCAGTGGGTGCTGTCAGGCGGTGGTAATCTGACTGGATTACCAACCAGGTGGAAACATTCAGCCTATCTACCCCCCTCACACCCTTACCCTCCCCCTTCCTCCTCCTCCTCTTCCTTCCTCCTCCCTGGCTCCATCCATCTATCATTTCTTCCCTTATTTTTTTCACATGCCTTTCTTTCTTTATCTATCTATGGGGCTTCCCTTCGCCTTTAAACATAATGAGTACCCTAGACACACACACACACACACACACTACTCTATAGTAACTACAGGCCTTTAATTCCACAAGCATGGACAGAAACCAAACCCATGCGTACGCGCACAAACGCGCCGTCTCCTTCCATCACCGTGCAGGTTGTTTGTGCGCCAAGGTGTGTGCAGGTAGTAAGGTGAAGGGGTGTGCCTCATCTGTGCTGCCGCAACGTTCAAAGCCTATGACAAAAAACTTCCAAGGGAAGAGAGAGATATAACTGACAGCCTCCTGATGAATGGACTGGATGGTTGTGCACACACACACACGCACAGCTACAGGCATTTGTAGTAGAGATATGCAGAATTTAACTACAGGGTCTTGTGTTTCACTAACAACACCGAACATGGGGAGAAGGAAAGGGAAAATGCTGGGATGAAAAGGGGGCATAAGCTGAAGAAAGAGCTCAAGAGAGCAAAGACCGAGAGCAACCGAGAGAAAAGAAAGTGAGAAGTGGCAGAGAGATAATCTAGTCTATGACATTTTGGTTATGGTTTATTGCTGTTTTAAAGCACAAAAAACAAGCAGCTTAAGACTAACGTTCTTCAAAGTGTGTATGTGTTTGTGCGTTTGTGCAGCTGCATGTGTGCACACACAACATGAATGTAAACTCCTTCTGTCTGCATTACTTAGTCACACAAATGCACACTCGTTCACGTACACAATCATGTAAACAAAAACGGTCTGCTGTCTGGGAAGTAACACACCTGTTCAATGACAAGAGCAGCCACGCCCTCCATAATACTGCACACCTGTGCTTCTGCGGGCTAAACCTAACCCTAATCGCACACGCAAACACACACACATATACACTTGCACAACTACTGCCCAGGGGCTAACATCAGAGAAAGGGGAAGAAAGAGAAAGAGAAGGGGGGACTGGAATAAAAAGCAAAGCAGTGAAAATGGGAGGGGAAGAGAGCAAGACAGACAGACAGAGACAAAGGCTTTCCCACTGCTCCTATCAGTAATCTAAACGCCTGTGTAATATCATTGTGGGGTTTTATCAAATGTGGGCTGAGTCTTATGGCGTTGGTATGCGTCTGTCATTCCATCACCTTGTCAAGCGCGACCATATTCAAGCAGACACCATGCTGATCTAAATAAGAGGCTTCAGCAAATTGATGGATTGCAGGTTTTCCAGGATATGAAGAAGCAGGGGAGAATGAGGGGAGTCTTTTTTTTTTTCATTTAGGATTTTTTTTAAGTGATATACTCAGTTTGATACTGCGAGACTGTGTGTATATATATATATATATATATATATATATATATATATATATATATATATATATATATATATATATATATATATATATATATATATATAAAGAAATAGTGAGGGTGTCTTCACAAAGATCTGAAACAAACCCTTGTCAAAACCTCCCCCCCCCACCCTCCTGTCCCTGCTATGGCCAGCTCCACATCACATCTACCCCCTGTGCTGAGGCCTAGGGCCAGGCATACAGCTTTCTGGATCTCTAAGGGGGGCAAGGACAAAGGTAACCCGCATCCTAACCTCCAAGCAAACACACATACATACACCAACCCCCCATCTCTAAACAACAATCCTCTATGCCCATCATGTCTGTCAAAACCCCATAAGGGACATGCATGGAGAGTCTGGATATCTGGAATCTCAATACAGTGTCATGCACCTTGAGACCCAGTGAGAGGCCCTCTTGAATATATTTCAATAGCATTATCACCCTGCATTACTATGCTTATACCCCCTTTATTCAACATTAAAGAAACATTTTTACACTGGGCCATTATGCATGTCAGCGCACAGCAAAATCAGTCAAGGTGCTATTTAAACTGCAATGCAGGTTACATTTGTATTTGATATATTAGCTTTGAAAATGAGCTGGGCGTGTTTTTGCTCGAATGTTGTGTGTGGAAATCAGAAACAGGCAGGCAGCTCAGCGTGTCATAAAATATAGAAAATATTTTATCAATATAAGTTAATGCATGGAGACTGAATCATTTATAATATATTTAAATGTGGTAAAGTGTTGATCAATATTTATGTGAATTGTTTAATAAGTATTATACTGAAAAGAATGTACGTATGAGAGAATAAAGCAAAGCTTAATAACTTTTGTGCAACAACACGTGTTTTTAGACGTGTTGTCAATAAAATGTGTTGACATTTAGACTTTTTTTACTAAAATATTTTTTAAAATAATAAATAAATAACGTACAGTATCAGTTCAAGTTTTAAGAAACATACACGTTACAGCCTTACGTCAGTTTATATAATTAATATATTTATATATGAATAATTTTTAAAAACGCAGAGGAAGAGCCCAAGTTTACAAACCTAAATGCTCACGTGCAATAAAAAGTATATTAAACAAACCAAGCTGACGTAAAATTGCATTTTAAATTAAAAATAATAATAATAATTGAAAAAAAATTCCTCTCATGTGAAGAAACCAGAACCACAGAACCAGGAGGTGGAGCACGAAATATCAAAAGTAATTCACGGTAGGATTTCTGGAAAAATCCACGCGTGTTGACCTGAAATGTGAAATGTATTTTAGCAACTAATTAAAAATGAAAACCCGGTTTGCCTCAATTTTTTCCCTTTTACACATGAAAACAAGCAAATACACGCGAGACGTGGATGGCCACTCTTGACACACATGGTAACTAATGAGATTTCTCATGTAACACGCATACATTCATCCAGCGCGTGGGTATAAACGCAGTATGATTTCGGACAGTCTTTTCTTTCTCTCTTTGCACGCACACACAGCCCCCCCCCCACACACACACACCACACACCCCTATTGAGACAGGATACCAAAGCTACTTGTTAAATCTAATGCATGCACTGTCAACCCATTCGCACCCCGTCACGTCTTCGCTCAATATAGAAACCGGATTTTCTGGTATTACCCTCACCTCTATTAGCCAGAGCTCCCCTTCACTCACTCAGTCCCCCCTCTGCTCTCCACCCGGCAACTGCGACCCCCAGTTTGCGCCCAGCATAAACCAAAACCACCAAAGAATTATTTCAAAAACACACACACGTGAAGGAGGAGGAGGCGCTGCGCAGAAACTGGCTCGGCTAATAGCTTTAATTTATTGTTTAATGGGAAATATAAGCGGTGGAATAACCCAATTCTAATTAATTACATCAACTGGCAACGATTAGTACTTCGCTAATTGATGAATCCAAATAAATCTATGACAAGATTATGCCACTAATAATCCCAGCTTGATATGAAAAAAAAAAAAGAAAAGAAATAAAACCAAATAACCCTGGAATTAAAGTTTTAAAACAACAACACCAACAACAAAGGTGAGCTTGGACTGAGTTGTAAATTTAGAGTTAATTCTATCTGCAAAAAGAAAACACATTACCCTTTTTCTTTTATGTGATTTTATATACAGTTTTTTTAATTCTTGCATTTCGGCAAACAGCCATAAACAGTTGATTAAATAAAGTTAAAAAAGATAATTCCTAAATTCCCCCCACCCCCCGAAAGTCGGAGCACTTTCCGTCAGCGTTAAATTCTAACTCGTCCCTGAAGAGCTCCAAGGTTTTATTTTGCAATATGGGGAACATATGCTTCAGACAAGAGAGACAGAGAAAGAGAGAAACACAGAGTATATATTTTCTTTGGGTTTTTTGTTTGCTTGTTTGTTTTGTTTTTTTAATCCACACTTCTCTGTAGTTACACGGTGGGGAAAAACACCTTGCTTCCAAAACTGACCTGAGTGCGGACCCATGGAAAGGTGGGATGAGTAATATTTCCCGGGCTGGAAGTGAGCGGGGTGCTGCACGGATCCGTGTCCGCCTGGCGCCATCCGAGACGCGGCGCTGTGAACCAAGGCGCTCCGCTCCGTCAGGAGGTGGTGCGGAGGAGCGAAATCTCGGCTTTCCATCCCGATGAGAAGCGATAAATCCCAAATCCCAAAGTAAAATCCGGAGGCACCGAAGGTTTCAGGCACCCAGATGCAAATAATCCCTTTTTATGAACTTCGTGCTCGCCTCGCATTGAGCGCGGTTTTGGCTTTGCAGGGTCGAAACGGAGTCCCCGTCATGTCCTACAAAAGAGAGAGCAGGAGACGAGTCAAAGCGCTGACAATGACGAGCCAGCCAGGGATGTGGCGCTGAAGAAAAGGCTTGACTGAGAGACAGTCGCTGCTCGTGTTTAGACAAACAAGCACGGTTTACAAAGAGAGAGAGAGAGAGAGAGAGAGAGAGAGAGTGAAGAAGAAAAAAAGGAGGAATAAGAAGCTATTCAAATGTCACACACAACAAACGTCCTAAAATAAAACAAAATCCCCACATTTACTGACCAACTTTGGTTCTGCGCTGCACACTAACTTTCTAACGCCGATATGCGCCAGCTCGGAAAGGTGGGTGAAGTCTGCACTGTGGATGAAAATGTGGGTGAAGTGAGTTTGCGTGGATTTACCCCGCACTACATCGTTGGCCCCAACAGAGGAGCCCCCCCCCCCCCCCCCCTCCTCGCGACCAAACACAATGTAAATCCTGAACACGGGAGCTTCCTTTATCAGCGCAAAAAAGAAAAAAGAATGGAGCAAATGACGAACAAATGAAGCATATACAGTACAAGAGTTCACGGTGGTATAAAGCCTCTCCCGGTGAAGGAGTTGTTGAGTCTTGAGGCTCAACAAGCGCCGGTCATAAACAGGCTGGACCTCGGGGCACTTGCGCTAAAACGTTAAGGAAACCATCTGCACCAAGTATAGAATGCGTAAAAAACATATTCTTTTTTTTCTCCTTTGGGTGACTCAAATAGCCTATCACTCTTTGGTTTCAGACGGATACCGTCAATACGTTTATCTTTTGGTGTAAATTGAGATTTTAATTCGAATCTGATCCGGTTCATATGTGGAGGAAATGTTGATCTCTGACTTGGATCGACATTTCTTATATAGGTTTTATAAACCAAGAGCGCCTTTACCGTTCTCTGTTTTTTTATATACACGTGTTTACCAAAGTTGCTTCACCATCGCTGTTTGACTTTTGATAGTTTGCACCGTTGAAATCGGGATTATTATCCGTTGTGTTGCTTATTGAGGAAAACTGGCGTTGAAACAGCCATTTCTATCAACTCATACGGAGTCAGCAGCAGTGGCCCTCGCCTTCTGACAATAGCCATGCATTTCTGCTACACGTACTGTATATATAGGATACAGTGTAATCACAAACACAAATCAAATCACCTCTATGCTTCATCGCCAGAGTTGTGAGGTGGGCAATAAACAGTGAAATAGACTAGGAAATCATCGCGTTTATATGTATACCTCATAGCCTAGGTCATTTATTTAAATAGGACTCCCTGCGATGCTCATAGGGAGCTCTGGGTGCTTCCATTTCCATCCCCCCCCCCCCCCCCCCCCACACACACACACACACACACACACACACACGTACACACACACAAACACACCTCAGCAGTCCATCTATTAGGCCTTTCAATGCGTGGCACGTCCATCTAGTGCTCTGTAGATGCTGATAGCACCTCCCAGGAACCAAGATAGAGGAACAAAGAAAATACCAAATGCTCTGGTGGACCAGGGGCTTTATGAAGTGCATAAGAACAGCCTTCATAAGCTCGGATATTCAAGTCTTCTTTAAGTCACACACACACACACACACACACACACACACACACACACACACACACACACACACGCTGCTCAAGGACTCAACTTTCAGGAATTGTATTTTTAGAGGGGATTTTCACCCTGGCTCCCTAAAGTTCGCAGTTCTGATAAAACCCAGCAAATGTGATCGTGAATCGTGAAAATGTGTGTGTGTGTGTGTGTGTGTGTGTGTGTGTGTGTGTGTGTGTGTGTGTGTGTGTGTTATACGTACAAACATTCCCCGTAACCCTTCCTATAAGGATATTTTTTCGCAAAGTGCGAGGGCATGTAAATAATTTAATTTCCTTTTTGTTTGCTGCAGGATGTTATTTTTTCTGACCACATGTAGTCAACAGTAACAGGGGGAAATAAGGGTAAAAGAAAAATAAATGGGGGGAGAAACGGAGGCTGCTGCTGTTTCTGCTGCTGCTGTTGCTGCTGCAAGCTCACTGGGAAGGCAAAATGGACTCTCCTGTCCCCTAGGCAGTGAGAAACAATGGCCCTTCTCCACGGGACATCAATCATAAACTACTATCGTCTGACATTTGTCTATACATTTTTACATTTTCTGTCCATAAACACACGTCCTGGATATTTACATTACACGTCAACAGAGAGCCACTCAGACTACATTTAACAACCTGAGTCTAAATCCCGTGTTATCGCACGCCACGCAAACAAGCGGCGTGAGCAGATCGCGCGTAACAGTTTTGGGAAGAAAGAAAAAAATCATCATTTGAATCTACAGTAGCGTGTGTGTGTGTGTGTGTGTGTGTGTAGCCCACATACGTGAAAGGCGTTCAGACTTCCTTCCACTCTACCCAGACCTCCGAAACCTTCTACACACACCTCCACAAGCACACACACACACAAGCACACATCCACTAAGCAGTGCCCCGAAAAGGGTCAAACTGTCGTCAGAAGAAAATCCCCCCCTTCCCTTACAAAAGTAACCACTGCTGGTCAAGACGACATCACATGAACTTCGCACAAAAGCCAGCAAATCCGCAAAGAATTGCGTTTGTCAGAACTAATGCAATTGAGGCTTCGAGCATAAAAAGAAGAAAAGGAGAGAGAGAAAAATGCGCCTATTTATCTGTGCGTGTGTGCGTGTGTGTGTGTGCGTGTGTGCTGTTTGAGCATAAATCTACTATATCATAAATGCGTGAATCTTTGGATAAAAATGAAAAAAAAAAAGAAATTTAAAAAGGCATTTCCTTTTGAAGTGGTCCGGGTCCAGAGGGCAACTGGTTTCCCTCAACAATTTAGCAATAAAGTAAAGTCGCAAAGCATAACCGGCGCACTAAATCCGGATATTCAGAGGCCGGCTAAACGGGAGAGACAAGCCCGGCTGAGCCGAAGACAGCTCGGCGTCTACACAGCCTTCACACCGAGGGAGCACTGCAGCTTGCAATAAAAAAAAACCTCTACCTCTCTCTCGCTCTCTCCCACACACAGAGATAGACACACAAACACACACACTTGCACAATGGAGAACTAACAAAGAAATAATCTACAATTTAAAATGTATGAAAATGGGCTCACTGAAAGAGCAGAAAGGTGTGGAGCAGCACCCCGAATGAATTAGAAACACACGCTCGGCTGTGAGGAGAGGTCAAATCAAGAAGTGACACATATCGCCCACAGCTCAGCACTGCACACTGGACAGGAAACGGTGGAAATAAAGCTACGTGAAATAAATCCCCCCCCCTTCCCCTCCCTCCTCTAGATTACAGTAAAATCGTGAGATCTGCGCCTTTAATGTATTTAGCAAATGAGAGATGCCTACAGATTAATATTCTGCACAGAACATCAGACCATCTCGCGTTTTATTGCCTCTAATGGAATGACAGCGGATAGCGGTGCGCTTAGAGAACAGCCAAGGTATACCTCCATGTAAATAAAAAAAAGATTAAAAAAGACAAAATAATAATAAATGTGTAAACTAAAATTCTCTCTTACTTGAAAAAAATGAACATGAAAAAAACGGCATTCAAACGGCTACAATCACACACACAACACACACACAAAACAAAACAAAACAAAAATGACAAAAACAGAACTGTAAAATAATTTCCTACTCACTGGCAAGTTACATCCACCGTGCGGCGAGTGGCTTATAATGAAAGAAAAAGTACGAAAAATATTCAAAGTGAAAATCCCGGAGTCGCAGAGATGAAACATGTGGGATTGATTACATCCTATGCTGCTGCAGACTGTGGTGTGCAGTCAGTTGAGGTATGGGAGAGACGCATCGTAGAAGTTCAGGCTTGTAGTGAATCGAGGCTCGTTCATGCAGCCGGAGACTCAGACACGCCGGTAGGAGGGAGGGAGGGAGGGAGGAGGAGGAGGGAGAGGTTGAAGGGGTGTGTGCGCGGGGAGGGGTGGACTCGCAGGCCTATTGGTTTGAGAACGACAATGTGAAAGCGTGCCCGTGAGGCGCTCCCCCACCACCGCCCCCACCTACCCTTTTCTATACACCCCCCTCTACGCCACACACACACATACACACACACCCCTTTCTACAGTAAATGCGCCCTGCCATTGGTTGCCGTTCGGAGTCAATGAGGAAGCCGGAGGATCCGCGGAGCAAAACGGCGGGCGTTTGATTTGCAGCCCTCGGCGCACTGCGCGGAGAAGACAGGCGGCACGGAGAGGAAAGGAGCCGGCTCTGCCTGCGCTTTCTGATCGCTGGTGGAGAGCAAACAGCGTCTAGCCTTTTATGCCGTGTGATCCCGTTGCAGCCCTCTGTGCTGTCTGTCTGACTGCAACGCTGTTTTATTATTATTGTTATTTTGCCTGACAGCGATGGCGTGGTAGTGTTGTTGGCGCTCCTTTAGGGAAATCTCCCTTTTATGCTCTCCTTTTTTGATCATCTGCTAAATAAATCCTTATTAGAATTTGAATGTACTTTAGTGAACAAGCCTGCTCTGTTTTGCATGTGTGTGCAACTAAAGTCACAACGAGACCTACATTAGCAGGCCTGAAGTTTCAGTGTAGAGTGCAGATTTGCTATATTATAATAATAGTCTGCTTAAAAAGGGGGGGAAATGCTATTGGAGTCCTTAATGGTCATTGCAGGATAATTCAGGCTCTGTATAAAGGAATGTGTTATAGGTTTACACCTTTTAGTTAATATGGCGGGGGATTAAAAATATTGCATCTGTTTTAGGGAAAAGTTATGATTGCTGTAAACACACAAGATAGGCTACGGTATACTGTATATTACCTATATCTATTTATTTATATATATATATATATATAAGCTACACACACACACACACACACACACACACACACACACACACACACACACACACACACACACACACACACACACAGGCAAATTGAATCACTGCATAATTTGAAAGCATTACTGTCCTTGGGGTTGGCCCTGCACACGGTTCACTAATTTAGCCAATTAAAAG